CCTATAAACTTCAAACTTGAGCCTTGTATCATTCCTTTAAGTTCCTTCATAAACATAGTTTTAAATGACTAGAGCATTATATTATGTGCCATTATACTTTCTGTGTGCTTCATTTCTCACTTTTTCCAGTTGACTATTTCTGTTTTAGAGAGAGAGATTTTTGCTATAGGGCACATGTGCTTGCTAGAGAGACAGAGGGACAGAAAGTGAGAAATCATCCCCCAGGAGGTGGGCACACTGCAATCCCTTCTCCATTCTCCTCTCGGGAATTTGGGCATGCATGCACACATGCCTGCTGAGTTTCAAGCCGCCAGGTCCAAATCGCGTCAGGCCATATGGGAGTCCAGCAATATAACCATTACACCATCTGCTGGGCCCAACCAGTGAAGTAACTATTAAGCTCAGTTTCTCTTCTTTTTTTTGAGAGAGTTTTTTGCTTTAGGGTGCATGCACTCGTTGGACAAACAGAGAAAGAAAGAGAGACAGAAAGCGAGAAATCACCTCCCTAGTGGGAATGGCCAGACCACCATCCCTTCTCCTTTGTCTCTTTTCAGGATTTTGGGCATGCATGCACATGTGCCTGGCGTGAGTTTCAAGCTGCTGGGTCCAGGACTTGAACCGCGGTCGACCACATGGGGGTCCAGCACCTTATTCATTACTCCACTTGCTGGCCCCAAGCTCAGTTTCTCTATCCTTTGATACTGTTTTTTCCTAATGTGGTTGAATTTTCCAAAATTTCAATAAAAATTTCTCCTCTGGAACTTTGAGAAGGTATTATCATATTCGGGTTTCAGGAAAATAAAGCTAGCCAGAAGACTTTCTAAATGAAATGTACAGATTTCTCGAATAATGGCATTAATGGAATATGTACTTAAAAGCAGCTTGAGTGTTTATCCCAAAGTTGGTAGATTTGGTGGGCTGAGAATCTGGCTTATCGATTTGTTTTGTTTAGCCTTAAAAATCTTAAGCCAATATTGAAACTCAGGAGATTTTTACATAATAAACTTGCATCTCTGGCTTCCCTTGAAAATCCAGTGGATTTGGTGCACGTGTATGCCACATGGCAGTAACCATGAAGCAGAGCCCCAGCCAGCCATGTGGGTGGGCAGGTTCTTCCACTCCACATGGTTCCCACTGTTTATAGTTTTTGTTTGTTTGTTTGTTTGTTCGTTTTTATTTTTTTGAGAGGTTTTTGCTACAGGGCGTGTGCGCTCACCAGAAAGACTGAGAGAGAGACAGAGAGACAGAAAGCCAGAAATCACCCCCCAGGGGGGATGGCCATGCCGCAATCCCTTCTCCTCCATTCTCCTCTCGGGATCTTGGGCACGCATGCACGCACACGCGCCTGGTGTGAGTTTAAGCTACCAGATCTGGGACTTGAACCGCAATCAACCACATGGGAGTCTAGCGACACAGCCATTATGCCAATTGCTGGTCCCCCACTGTTTATTGTTACTGGTATGTTTTATTTTTTCTGTTATGTTTATCAGTATTTCTTTCTTTTTTTTTTTTTTTTAGAGGTTTTTGCTATAGGGCGTGTGCACTCGCCAGAAAGACAGAGACAGAAAGATAGAAAGTGAGAAATCACCCCCCCAGGGGGGATGGCCATGCCGCAATCCCTTCTCCTCCATTCTTCTCTCGGGATCTTGGGCACGCATGCACGCACATGCACCCGGTGAGAATATAAGCCACCAGGTCCAGGACTTGAACCACGCTCAACTACATGGGAGTTCAGCGACATAACCATTATGCTAACTGCTGGTCCCAGTATTACTTTCATACCTACCCTTCCTGGTCCTGTAGACATTTCAGTTCAGGTCTTTGGCTCCAATGCCTTCTTCGCAGTAACTCTGCTGACCTCCCGAGGGTCAGAGCAGGCAGGCGAGCTGTTAGGTGCACACAGTCACTGAGCAGCAAACTTATGTCTCAGACCAAATGAGTCCACTCTCTGAATCCACCCTTGCTCTTCCTGCTAGAATCACACGACCACTGGTAACAGGCCACAGGCTCCAAAATGCCATTGTTTCGGCATCGAAAGAGTTCAATTTTATTGCCTCCATGACTCACACTGGAAAATCTTGGCTCTGCTAGTCTAGCAGATTGTGTTGACACCTTGAGCATATGTGTGTGCGCATCTCCCTTTCTTTTCTTTTTAAACATTTATTTACTTCTACCATGAACAAGAGTGATGGAGAGAGAGACAGATCCCGCTTCTTTCTGTGCAACAGTTAACCGTTGGGCTACAGGGCCGGCTCCCCAACAGGGCTTTGACACTGCAGTCCACCCCATTCTCATGGGGATGATGTGCCCAGTGTTCTCGGGGAGGTCTCCAGGCATGAACTTGTAACCTTTCCTTCTGGATAAACCTTACAGAGCATCATGTTTTACCACGGTGCCACTGTCTAGCCTAAATACCATTGTTTGCAAAGGAATTAGATTACCTCTCTGTCAGATTTTGGTTTCCACTGAGGATAAAGTCAGTTCAGTTTGCCCATGTGCCTCCCCCAGTACTCTGGAAAGTGATCCATACAGAAGAAAGATACCTGAAGCTCTTAAGACTGAAAGCAACAAAAAGTACGTGGGGTCGGGAGTAGGGGGTAAACACACAAAAAACAGACAACCAAAAAAACGAAGACTGGCATAGTCCTTATTTCAAATATTGGTTGTCTTCTTTCCAGTGGCAAGAAATCAGAAACACAGCTCTGTGTGTGCATGTGTATGCGTGTGCATGTGCATGATACGTGTTACTACTGTTGCGAACACTGTTCCTCATAGTTCACTCTATATCAAGCAAGGAGAAAATTTCATGGCTGTTCTTTCCTTGTTTGGCCCTACAACAATCCTCTATACCCTGCAGAGTAGATGTTGTCTCTTATTTCTTGTCTCTTATTTCACGTATAAGTGCTCATTAAGAGTGGCACTGAGGACTCTGGATTCTATTCTTCATTGTGCTATTAGAATCTTTGACCAGGGATGGGACCAGCAGTTAGCGTAATGGCCATATTGCTGGACTCCCACGTAGTCGACTGCTGTTTGAGTCCCAGACCCAGTGGCTTGAACTCACGCCGGGCGTGTGTGCGTGTGTGCCCAAGATCCTGAGAGGAGAATGAAGGAGAAGGGATTGCAGCGTGACCATCCCCCCTGGGGGGTGATTTCTTACTTTCTGTCTCTCTGTCTCTCTCTGTCTTTCTGGCGAGAACATGCGTCCTATTGCAAAAACCTCTCCCAAAACAACAAAACAAAACAAAACAAAAAAGAATCTTTGACCAGGGACATGACAGTCTTTGGGGACTCAGGAGTTTCTTTCCTCTTATCTATATGGTGAAGGGGCTGGACTGGGTATTTTGTATTTTTTTCCAGCTTTAGAAGGTTTTCAATGGTAGATACTTCTCATGTTTTGAAACTTATATGAAGATGGGAAAATTAATACTCGTTTATGACATGCACTGTATGTTTTGACCTATTATTGAATAATTGTTTTCATCTATAGATTAAAAATTTTTGAATTATTTCAGTAACTGGATTTTTGCTTTTGAGAGATCCTAAAATGGAACTAGACCCCACTGTTTCTATGATTCTGGGCCAGCAGGGGGTGTCGTGCATAAGGCACTGGACTCCCACATGGCTGACCATGTTTTTTAGTCCCGGACCTGCAGATTTGCTTTCTTGCTTTCCCACTCTCTCTGACTCTCTTGGGTGAGCGCCCTAGTAAATTAAAAATAGTAGCAATAATAAATAAAATTCTTTTTTTAAAAAAAGAAATGTATGATTCTAAAATTTTTCAAGGCATGAACTTTGTTTTCTAAGCCTGAGGAAAACTTTTTAGAAAAAAGATGTATTATCTGAGTATTATTTATCCCAGTGCCTAGAGTATGTATCAAAGAATGAATGAAAATCTAGGTTGTAACAAAGCAAAAGCAAACACGCAGAACCAAAATATTACAGTTTTCTATGAGAAAAACACAAATGCCTTTATGGGAAAAATTTCATAAACCAAGTTAGAAGACAAGTGTTAAACTAGAGAACTATTATTTAAAATAAGCTATTACAAAAGGTTAGCACAGGGATATTTGATCGATGGAATAGTGGTTATGTTGTTTGAATCCCATATGGCCAACTGCAGTTCAAGTCCTGGACCTGACAGTTTGAAACTCATGCCAGGCACGTGTGAGTGTATCCAAAATCCTGAGAGAAGCATGGAGAAGGGATTGCAGTGTGGCCATCCCCCACCGGTGTATGTGTGGGGGGTGATTTCTCACTTTCTATGGCAAGTGGAGTGGTAAGCCTAAGTTTGGTAGCTGTAACAAAAGTGAGTGCATATCTGCTTTTAAGGATGAAGTCTCAGGAAATAGTGTGCATGGATGAAAGTGGTAAATATAAGGAAATCTGTCATTGTGCATGGTAGTGAAACATGGATACAAAATGTCCATCAGGGCCAGGTGGTGGAACAGCAGTGACACTGCTGGACCTCCATGGGAAGGTCTAGGGTTTCCATCCAGAGCTTTCCTGTGCAAACCAGCTGTCTGTGTGCCAATAATCTGGGCTGCTGAGGCTGGCGGTGGAGCACAGTGTGAAGATCCTGCCGGGGATGCCTGTCTCTCTCATGGAAGAAATAAAGAAATAAACTTAAAAGACAAAAATCCTTCAATGGGGTATTGAATATATCCTTAACATGTATAATATTTAGTCATTTTTACATGACAATATTGATTTGTTTAAACAGAAATGGAAAGATGTCCATGATACACAAGGTGAAGGGGAAAAAAAAACCTTTAAGTACAGTTTGATCATTTTCAAGGATAAAAGTTGTATAAAAATAATTGAGAAGGACATCTGCCAGCTTATTAGTAGTGACTGGGGAGGTGGTGACATGATATTTAATTTTTATGTTTTTTTCTTTTTGAGAGATTTTTGCTATAGGGTGTGTGTGCTCGCCAGAGTCAGAAAGCAAGAAATTACCCCCCAGAGAGATGGACATGCTGCAATCCCTTCTCCTCCATTCTCCTCTTAGAATTTTGGGCACACACACACACACACACACACACACACACACGCACGCCCAGTATGTTTCAAGCCCATGGGTTAGGGACTCAAACCACAGTCCAAGTGGGAGTCCAGCACCTTAACCACTACGCCATCTGCTGGTCCTCATTTTCTTCATTTTCCTTTCTTGAATTTCTTTTGGGGAAGTACACACTGTGGTTTTTTTTAATGGGAAAAGGAATGAAGATACTTTCACTTTTAGAATATATTTGCTCTTATTAGTTGCCTGGGATATGTATTTTATGCTCTTTTAAAGAAATAAAGGAATAGATGTGTTTTTGTAATACTGGAGTCTATCACTTAGACAAATACTCCGAATTTCCACTTAGTGCAATCGCGTGTGGATAATTAGAATTCTAACTAGTAACCTGCGGTGTGTGTGTATGTGGGGTGGGTAGTGGGGGAGCTGTAAGTACATACCTTCCTCCTGGAGACTTTGTAGTTTGCTTCCTGTTCTTGGGAGAATTAGAGCCTGAGGAATTACTACACTGCTGAGTGCTGAGTAGGGGCAGGACTGGCCTCGGGTGTAGGGACTAACTAGTAATGTGGAGATGTTCCCTCTCTTTTTCAGGGCATCTTTTATGACCAAAACTGTGCCTTGCGGAAATGAACTTCACAAGTTCCTCATCTGGGACACTGCTGGTCAGGAGCGGGTGAGTATCAGCTTCAGAAGGTTTCTTGGTTTGAGACTAGACTCTATTCGTTGCAAATGATAGAATCCAGTTTGAGATGATTTAAGCGAAAGTAAATGTACTTTTCGGCTAGGTGAAATATCTAAAAGCACACCTATGGTGAGGGGTCAAGTCCTCTTTATTCCTATTTCTTTTTATTTAGAGCAATTGTGGTTGCACTCCCAACTGGCATCATTTTTGACAGACCCACCTTCCTTTCCCCGAAGGTTGGCAAAGATGGCCCCATAAGCAACTCTAGACCCACATTTTGCCACCTTCACAACCCCGAGAAGGGGAGTGCCTCTCTTATGAGTTGGAACATAAGATATAGTGCCCGTGGGTTCTCAGTGGCCTGCTTTGGGACAGGTGCTCACTCCTGAATTTCATGCTGTTCAGTGTTGGGGGCAGTTGGTGCCCCTGCTGGGAGAGCTGGGTAATACGCTTAGCCCTGGAGAGGAGCTGGTGTCACTCTACTTCAACTACATTAGGTAGGCTTAGTTCCCCCAAGGAAAATCTGGGTTCTTTTCCTTGAAAGTGGTGGAATAAAGGGTGGGTTACTACTAAGAGCAGATGACTTTTCTCTTATTCTTTAAGACTTTTTTTTGTTTTTTGTTTTTTGTTTTTTTTTGATGGAGAGATTTTTAGCTATAGAGCATGTATGCTCACCAGAAAGAGACAGAGTCAGAAAGTGAGAAATCACTGCCCCGAGGGTATAGCCACACAGCAATCCCATCTCCATTCTCCCCTTGGGATTTCTGGGCATGCTCGTACACATACCTGGCATGAGTTCAAGCCTCGGGGTAAAGGACTGAAATCTGCAGTCGACAGTGTGGGAGTCCAGTGACATAACCATTATGCCATCTGCTGGTCCCAACTTTTCTCTTATTTTTAATTCACTTCACTTTCTAAACATATTTAGGAGATTGTTTATTTAAGAAGTACATGTCTTTTTTTTTTCTTTTTTTTGGAGAGGTTTTCGCTATAGGGCGCGTGTGCTTGCCAGAGAGACAGAGAGAGACAGAGAGATAGAAAGTGAGAAATCACCCC